CACCCACCCGTTGCAGTTCAATCCTCCACCTTCAGTCCATCTATGACAAATTGATTAATTCTGCAACTAGTATTTATTATAATATATGTGTAACAATGTGCTGATTTGATTTGATTTGATTCCACATGCTAGAAATTGTTCTTTTTTTTTGTTCCTATATATGTGTTTGGGTTTTGGATTAATTGAAGCTAAATTTTCACTCCTGTATGGTTTTCACTCACTTCTGTATGGCTTCTGGCTCTGGCTGTGCGGATTGAGCTCCCTCCCTCCGCATTAGTTTGTACCAATCTTCAATTCAATTCTAAGCATGATGATATAGATGCAACTGATGATCTAGTATCTCATTTCCTTTGTATTTCCACATGCATGACAGCACCCATTGGTCCGATGAGATGTATCGATTACCCCTACAAAAGCGAGAGTGACTATCCCTGGCTGTGTACGGCTGTAAACTTCCTGTCCGTCAAGATAGGCTGTTCGGATGTTGGCTACCCAATCTGTGTCTATGGCACTATCATTGTCAGGGACAGCGTCGATGTGAGGTGTGTTTATCACTTCCGCCGCGACAGTGACAATTGCCAACTCATCAATTCTGAGGTACAACCAACCTTCAGCATCTCCTTTTCTACTATTTTGTGCATTAGCGCCTTGTTTTTCACTCGTATATATAGAGAAAAGATAAAGACTGATATACTGACCTGACCTGTAACCAATTTCTATTTTGCATGCTGGACAGTGTAACTAGGACTGTAGGCGCCATAATGCTTTCTAATAAAAATCCATACTTTCAGAAAGACACATATGCTTCTTGTTACACTTTTGTGTTTTAACGCTGCTTTATATTTAGAAAAAAAAGAGAGAGAAATACTGACCCTGTATTTACATGCTATAGCATTGTTGCATCTAGGGGATCGATCCACACATCTTGCTTTGGATCCCACACCATTGACATTTTCATCAGCTAGCTAGCTATATACGTACCCAACAGCATATATACCGTGTCACTAACGTATCCTGTAAATAAACCTTGCCGTAGGCTGAATCATTGATCTTGACTGGGCCGAAACGTGGCCTCGCATTGTGTGAAGATATCTATGTGGAGACTGATCTGAAGGTGAAGGATGATCTAGTACAGGACAGAGAACTTAGTAAAGGACTCATAAGCATCAGGAGCGCATCAACTGGTCCATCGGTGACGGGATACACGTTGCAGACCAAATCTCTTGCTACCAGGCTCAGTACTGTGGATGTGACTTATACAGTCGTGGATCGTGCACTGGAGGGAACTATTGCAGTTGAAGTTCTGCAGGGAGGTTTTCATGGCAAAATCACTGCCTACACTGCCAACATGCAGTACAAGCTTGTGCTTTATGATAGCAAAGAGGCTGATGCGATGACTGTTGACGATTGTGGAGTTCTCGAGCTTATGCGACCTGTTGTATCTGTCTATGTGAAGGATTTGCTGATGATTGCTGCCCAGACCAGTGATGGTAAATCTGAGCGCATAGTATTCACTCCAAGGATCAACGCCAGAGATGAACGCCCACTTGCTGTTGGTGCAACCAAGTTGCGGGTGAAGCTTTCTTGGTCAGTAATGGACCCCTGACTGATTTGGATAATACCCCATTGTTATAGCTATGTCTGTTTCGGTGATGCTGTCGTCACCCTAAGTTATGCGAACTTATTTGGACCTGATAAGTAATAGTGTGTGTGACTATTGTGCTTGGCTTTTTTTTTTTTATTTAGACCTCTCTGGTACTTTAGCTAGATCGTAGTCTAGGTTGATCCAATGGATCCTAAGATTGTCATAGTTAAAATGTAGTCCCTTTGAGGTAACCGTCGGGCCGGAAACGGTCTCTATTGTATTTCAAACTTCTACCTTTATACAATGATACGCAATGCTCTCGCATATTCGAGAAAAAAAAAGTAATACATGTGCTGCTGTCAACCAGGGAACTCATTTCCAGTCTGTTGTGAAACACAGCATCCATGGCCCTTTTTGAAACTAACCTGGCCCTTTTTGAAACTAACCTGCTTTGCACAATCAAATCCTTACTTGAACGTGTACTTGATAAGATTTTGGGTATTTCTTTGAACATTTTTTAGGAGAATTTCTTTGAACATTTGCCATGCATCCTTGATGCACAATGCATGGGCTCTAGCGGGACGCCCAGTCACGTCACCTCCTCCTCCCGGCCCATTATTCAATTCCCCCCTGCTCCTCCTCCCGGTCCATTATTTATTTCCGGGTTAAGTCCAATTTACACCCTCCAACTTGCAGCAAAGTTCGGATTTCAACCTCGAACTTCAAAACCGGACAACTTTGGCCCTCCAACTCTCGAAAAAGTTCAACTTTCAACCTTCCGGGCGGTTTTGTGGGTGAACAATAACTTTTGATATTTTCGGGAGCGCCAAAATTTTATATTATTTTTTCGAGCATCTTAACGTCCTCAAATGAAAAAACTCAAAACTACAAAGTTGTAGATCTCATCGAGGTCTACAATTTACATATAAAAAGTATCTTCATTCAACATCGTATTAAAGGGTTTTATATTTTTTGAAATTTGAGTCTCATCACGCGATAAAATATGGTGCTGAAATTTTATATTATTTTTTGAGCATCAACTGTCCTCAAAAAAAAACTCAAAACTTCAATAGATCTCATCGGATGAAGATAATTTTTATATGTAAATTATCTTCAGACATCGTATGAGATCTACATTTTTGTAGTTTTGAGTTTTTTTCATTTGAGGAAAAGTAAGATGCTCGAAAAAATAATATAAAATTTCAGCACCATATTTTATCGCGTGATGAGACTCAAATTTCAAAAAATAGAAAACTCTTCAATACGATGTCGGATGGAGATAATTTTTATATGTAAATTGTAGACCTCGATGAGATCTACAACTTTGTAGTTTTAAGTTTTTTCATTTGAGGACGTTAAGATGCTCGAAAAAATAATATAAAATTTCAACACTTCCGAAAATATCAAAAGTTACTGTTCACCCGCAAAACTACTCAGAAGGTTGAAAGTTGAACTTTTTCGAGAGTTGGAGGGCCAAAGTTGTCCGGTTTTGAAGTTCGAGGTTGAAATCCGAACTTTGCTGCAAGTTGGAGGGTGTAAATTGGACTTAACCCTTTATTTCCCTATATCTATCTATATTATTTATTACCATGTTATCGATGGGGAGCAACCATCATGGCAATACTCAGCTATTATTTATTCATAGCAAGTGGATACGTAACTTAGGCCCTGTTTGAATCCCTATGGATAGTAGTTATTTGATAATAATTATCTCGTTTGGATCCAAATAGATATAGATAATTGACTAGCTAATAGTTAGCTGGACATTTAGAAAGCAATTATCCCACTATCTACACCAAATCAGATAATGAAATATTAGCCAACTGTCATAGATAGTGAATCCAAACAGGGCCCGAACAATATAGCATTTATTTACATAGGGCAACAATCAGATAAATACTAATAATGATTATACGTGAGTAGCTCTTTAATCTTTACACTGGCACCTTCCTTGCTCTAGTCCGTCGAACCTGCACAAAAGCAAAATTAGATAGATATAATTCCATGATACAAATGAAATCATGCATTGTTTGCACGACTTACGTTATCCTTTGTGACAACACCAGTTACATCAGAGGTTCAGAGCTTTTCTGCAAATTCACCAACTCTAATGCTTCAGATAAACCCTTGCTATGACATTTCTTGAAGGAACTATTAATATTTCAAGATTCAAAGTATCATCAAAAGGAAGAAAACTTGTCAAATAAACTTGCAGCAAAGTACATAACAGCTTTTTATATCAAAATATAAGCCGGACAAGTTCATTTTCAGCCACCTTGTTGCTCTTGCAATGCCATCATGATTCTAGAATAGATTTGTAGTTCTTTCAATTGATTGAAACAGACCTATGGTTGGATTGGCAGGCATACACATACTACAACTGTCCAAGAAGCAAGCACTAGTAACCAGAAACCCAGGCCAATAAGGCAGGATATATATAAAGATAAAGTTTGTGCAATTTAGTATGAGCTTATCTGAGCCATAACTAAATGTCAATTAGATTTGATCTGTACGAATCAGGGTAACTAAATTTGATATGTCAGAATCAGGTCAATTAAATTTGATATAATGATATGTCAGAATCAGATCTATATAAGTCAAATTTCATGCTGACTGTCTACAGCCTTCGCTACAGAGATTCCCCTTTATTTTCAATAAGGAACTACTATAGCTAATTTCAAATGAAAAGTTCTCGGCCATTGAAACAAAACATTCCACGATGAGTCTAGTAACACAAATTTAATGTGGCCAGATGGCCTTTTATCTATCAGCACTAATTTAAAAAAAAAACAAAATGTTCTACTCGTACAAATTGTACTATAATTTATGATTCCCATCAAGGGGTTTCGGAGGTGAGGGCAATAATCTTATTATGTGAAACAGTCAGCATGGAATGAATAAGAACAACCAATTATACCTATAGACATAGATCCGCGTATAATTCTAGTTATAAATTGGCATTGCATGGTTTCCCCAATGATATCATGGAGGAAGCTAGCACATGAAGGCACGTCAGACAATGGGGGAAGATGGCCCCATATTCCAGAATCATTTGTGGTATATACACTATGGAGCCATACTAATTCAACTGGTGTAAAACATGATATGACGTGAACATTCAGCTTAGTTGTGCGTAGCAAACAAAGAAGGCGCAGGAGAGAGATCCTTTAGAAAAGACAGGAAAATTTGACAGACTGTTGTTGTGCTTACCATTCTCTGACCGTGTGTTTGGATACCGGGACGGAGTGGGTTGGGATGGGTTCAACCCAGTTTCAGGAGTGTTTGGTTTGGGGACTGGGTCAAGACGGGTTCGACCCAGATGGGAATATGCCTCCAGATGTGGGTTCATCTCATCCCTCCGAATCGAGGGGACCGAGCGGGTTCATGTGGGTCGAGCTCGAGCGCGTGTGGCCATTCATTGGAGACGTCCTGCAAAATAATAAAATATATATAGATGTTCATGTAGGAAACTACATGCCATTCACTATCTAACAATCAAACTTATAATTGAGCACAAGTTAGCAAATTCCACAGTTTGCCTACAATAGTTGTGATCTGCCTTTGAGGAGTCGCCCCAGTAGAGCACCTACTCATAGGACAGTTCTGGTTATCCAAGAGGGAGACACAATTTCTAGAATCAGCTTCGTTAGCTAAACCCAAGGAGCCTGCCTGGAGATGTCACCTTTGTGTCAGCAGAACCAATAGATGACACATTTTCTCAATTCAAGCTATTATTAGTATCTGATCCTTTTTCTTGGACACAACTTCCCCAGATGCCAAATGTTTCTTCCTTTTGCGGTTTTACCTTTATTGCAACCACTTGCATTCTGTCCCACTGATTTGCTTGATGAGGAGCAAGCTTCCCATTCAGGAGAAGATTCATTTGATACCCTCTCAGAAACAACTGAGCATTTAGTATTGTCCTGAAATACATCAATTGATTTTAGACCATCACCAAGTTCGATGCTAGATAGTGCACAGTTATACATTTGAAAGAAGATGAAAAGGAGGCATCATCGAAAGGATATACCTGATGGTTATAAGGCTCATGAGCTTTAAGAATTCTATTTACAAGCTTATTGTTACTAAACATTTTCTTGGCAACATTCTTACATTTAGAATATTGGATAACTCAAAAGGTTAGCTATAGCATAAAGATACTAATTTATGGTTTAAATAAGAGTGACTTACATCTGATTTTCTTTGACTCCCAGACAATCTATAATAAGATGAGGGCAAGAGAATATGGTGTGGAGAATCAGACATCTTGCAATGCATATCAAGCTCTTTTACAATGAATACAAGATGCGCTTAGTAGGTAGATACTTTATCACGTCACAAAAATTTGAACATCACAATACTGTAGTGGAATAAAGCGGATCTCTTTTTGTAAGCGAGATATGGTGCGAGGGATTAGTAGATTGATTATGAGGGAGCAATGTACATGTATATATAGGCAAAGATGTCTAGGGTTAGGTTTATAGAAACAAGACTATAGCATCAGATATCCTTGCCTAACACCAAACACCAATTTATGTACCCTGGGGCCTGGGCTCAGCAGCCAGAGCAGCACAGTACTCATGGGCCAAAGGGCTGATATACAATATGGCCTGACTGCCTGTCTAACACTTTTACTTGAAAATAACAGATACAGTAAATATACTCTTGAGTTTTGATCTCTATAGATTTACAAAGTTTAAGGTAACATATTGCAGCCTATGAGCATATCGGAACTGAGCCTTGATAACTCATATGTGAGGTGCAGCAGTGATACACACATCAAACCTTTAAGGGTGTCTTAATTTCTTGCACATGTTACTATATTTTCCTTTCACTCCACTTTATTTATATATACATATGTCATATTGCCCTATGGGCCTACTAAGAGATAAGGTTTGCATTTCTTACAATAATTCTTGTTCAGAGTAATAATCAAGAACCAAAAGGGTCAAGACAATCCAGCTTTACATAAAAATACATTTACCTAAAATTAGTAGATATAGATAAATAGTGTGTAGATTTTGCCAAATGTGCCAACATCTAGAGAGTCTTCACATTTATCAGGAGTTCAGGACTGATTCTTCTTAGAACAACTTAAGCAAGTACTCCCTCCGTCCCAAAAAAGAATGCAAATCTATAGGTGATTCATATATAGAATTGCTTTGTTTTTGGACGGAGGGAGTACTCCTCTGAGCCTCAAAATAATGATGGAAACACCATTGCAGTTACCTACATGATTACACCATTGACTGAGAAGCATGCAAGATGCTTCTGCATAAGAAATAAAGGCATGGATATAAACTCAAGATAATGAGTTAGGGTTTATTCTTTGCTTGCCTAAATCATCTGCCGAATGCTCATTATATGGAGGTGTGCCTAACATCCAAGTCTAACAAACCAACTAAAAAATCTCCTAATTTATCCTCGAAGTAAGCTATCTCAAGTAACAAAAGGTAACAAAGAAATCTATCTCCGATCTTGTGCCAACATTGTGGGCGCACTAGGGGTTGTCATGCTTCTTACAACGCTGATACATGCGACCCACAAAGGCATCCAAAGCATGTACCAGCTGTTGAAAGCAGTTACAAATAAGAATCTTGTCCGCCTGTCAAAATCATTTTCTTTTCTTTAGTAGTTCATCCACACTATTGACTACATTTCATGTAGCATTTAGTTGTGAAATATTTTACCATCCAAGAAACAAATATAAGGGATGCACTATTAAAATGCGAGAATGCCTGGGACAATCCTATGTACTAATAAGGGAGAAAAAAGAACAAACCTGAAGGATTAAATATCATTATCGAAACAAAGAAGCACAAGTTTAGCTGGGATTTGTTCATAATGAGTGTTGACTGTGGCAGTTCCTTTTGAGCATTTCTCAATTCTCACAGTAATCCCAATACAGCTCCAGCAGCTTATTCATTACATTTTTTTCTAACGGATGCCTGAAAAGCATGTTTGGGTGAAGCATTGTAGACAAATAACTGGACTGAGAAACATCAACAGTTTATACTCACCTTTTTGTCATGTAGCCTCTCGGCTGCATGTAACATCAGTTTAGCAGAAGAAGAGCTAAGATTCGATTTGGGTAAATCACAGACTGTGTGAGCAGCTCGGATCCTCACTTTCTCACCAAAATCTAGTAACCTCCCTTCAAGTGATGCTAAGAAATGAATGATAATATTAAAGGGTGCTGACACAGCAATCTAGATAAAATAACAACTAAAAGTAGCCTTTACTATTTGTTTCAAAAAAAAAGTAGCCTTACTAAGTATATGTTGTGCTTCATCCCCAGATACATCCATGTAGCCTCTTTGGCTGCATCATTGCAGCAACACTAACTTCTGCAGATTTGTCAGAGAATCTGCTAAGGAAGGTACAATGGTGTAAAAAAGGAAGGAGGATAACATACGAGAAGTTCATGTGTCAAGTTTGGAATGACAGCAAAAAGGATCTGGGGCGCACACTGGAATATTTCAAGAATAATTTTATGATGTAATCTCCTAAGTTCATTAACCGGCATATCCTTGTTAAAAAATGCATAAGGATAAAAAAAAACACGAATGATAGGCACAGTGATGCACATTTACATTTTTGAGACCCAGTATTGGAAGTCTCAATGACATGAGAGTTCCTAGATTTCTGCATTAAAAGCTAAGTAGTACTACAAACAAAAGATAAGCTGACATATAGTATTAGCAACAACAACAACAAAAAAATGCAAGCAACATGGTGGACAAATGCATCAGATCTGAATGATGGTTTTAACAAAGTATAAGAGAATAACAATCAAAGAAGTAGATTTATTCCTACTTCACTATGGAGAAGAAAATTTTGACAATATCAAGAATCAAGTCCTCACAGCCAATGTTGAGCATGATCATATAACATCTAAGTGCAGCAATATTTTCCAATATTTCCATCCTTCTACTAAGATATGGACTACTAGTTTCAGCAAGGTCTGCAAATATGCTGACAAATATCCTAAATATTTCCTGTCAAAAAATGCTAACCAAGTGTTATAGTGCAATCCGTGATTAAACTGTTCTTTTTCACTACTTATTCTCAAAAGTAAATGAAATTTTAGAAGCTCTGTTGTAAAAAAGTAACTATTAGGTACTACTTCCATTCGTTGTTAGTAGACGTATTATGATTAGAAAAAGGTCTTTGGAGATATACACTGAACACTAATTTCTCTTTAAATATATCATCAATCACTACAAAATCAATGTCGCATGAAAAGATCTTTGAAATATGAATCTATTATATAACTTTTATACTGTAAACATGCATATAATTTGACTAATTGTTGTTACAAGTTTATGAAGTTTGAATTTTCAAAATTCTAATGCACCTACTAGAAATGAACGGAGGGAGTAGCATTTTACATCACCAAATACATAGTAAAAAAGTGGCATGGCTGTTAAATACCTTAAGTATTTCATCGCTAAAAGGTGGACCAGGTGCAAGGACACACATAACTTCGATAAAACAAACAGCAACAAGTTTGACATCCTTATCCTTATGGTTGGCTAAAGTGGTGTGGATTTGCTCAGAGCATGAAGAGCATCCTGCAGAGAGGATGATTGACTAAACTCTGATAGTGCACTTTCAGCTTGCTGCAGATAAGAACAGAAATGTGTTATGGAAGCGAAGAATATGAATCCATTATTATTTTGAGCCTTTTTGTCATTATGGTTATCCAACTTGAGTATGTATAAATAATGGACAACTAGTTTCAGAATAACATCTCTGCTAGGCTGAACTGTTTCAACAACTGGATCATCAACCTGCACTAGCACAAAGCTAAAAGGCAATAAACCGAGAAGATCCGATAAATGTCCAGGAAAAGGTTTGAAACAGGTTGCAAAAAATCATTTAACTGTCCACGGCTCACTGTCAATTTACAGAAATAAGTATGACCATGCGTCATCTAGCCTTTCATTCCTTATGTATACAAAAAATTTCAGGACTAGCTAGCAGCTTCCTTCAGTTATAGCAGTTCAGAAACAAAGTAAACATGGAACAGCAAGCAGTGACAAGCAGTTGAACTGAATGTCCAAAACTCCACAATCCCTTATCTGCTGCCTCCAATTGGCAGGTAGATCAAGGTGTCTAGTAAGACACTGGTGAATGTATTCCATGCATTTAAGAATAACCCCCATAGACCCAAATAATCATCATTCCCCAAGTCCGAAACCAACTCTCGGAATATCTACTATACAAATATAAAGCACCACATCCACCTTACCTCCAACACCCCGAAGAGCGTCCTTGAGCGTGACGACAGCACTGGCGATGCTAATCGTTTCGTTGGAAACATTTTGATGTGCTGCTGCAGCTCCAATTCTATAAACACGACCGACGATTTTCAATGACTGGACTCTGCTGTGTCCCTAGACTGTAGCACACCCTCGCTCATGGTTGATGCATGCTGCTCGCGCACCATCGTCGATGCATCAATCGATGACGAGTTGACGACGAGCGAGTGAATTGGATAAAGGGACTGGGCAAAGGGGATTGCATTGCACGTACGGGAGATCTGCACGAGAGAGGAGCATGCGGCACTAGTCTACCGAGCGAGCGAGATTGCTGGAATAGCGGATGGGAAAAAAATGGAGAACGAGAAAGATACACTGTTGGAGGGAGGCCTCGTCGCCAAGAATCACGATAGGAAGGAAGGCATTTCGGGAGACAAAAGAGAGCGGAGAGCCTGTAGGTGTTACTGTCACAGCGTGGAGTCGACCAGCAGGGCCAGTTGAGAGTACATCGACTTGCTAGGAAGCCTGGTTCTGTTGGAGAGGGATCGCAGATTGTATGAGTGGAAGATCGAAGGGCGAGGTCACAGTGCTCGAGGAAGATGGCGCGGCGGCACCGTGGCTGCAGCGAGGGACGCAAGAAGACAGCTAGGGCAGAACTTCCGGCTCCTAGGGGAAGCCGGAAACAATTAGGTATGTTTCTGCTTAATTCTCAAAATAGTCTTACAAGGTATTTATAACTCCTCTCATCTAATAATAGAAAATCCATAGTAATTCTAATAATAACTAATACTACGTGACAATGTGGGCTTTAGGCCCATCCCGGACGCGGCCCTAGCCACGGCCAGGCCTTTTCCGGCCATAGTGCAAGCCCGTCATAACACGACTCTTATGTGGTAAGCTAAGGTGCCCCTCCGGAGCATGATACTCCGTGCGTAAAAAGAGAGAGATAGGATAAATTCCACTTCAAAATGCTCGCTTTCAAACGGGTGCCATCGTTATTGG